AAAGAAAATAGCAGTATGGGTAAACACACTTGCACGCACTAGCGCACCTACAGGTAACTTGCTGAGTGAACATCCTGCCACTAAAAATTATGAGAGTGCCGGTGTATTTCAGGAGCTCCACCGGGGAATGCCATTGTTGAGAATTTTGAAAATTCGACTTCACTTTCTTATTTTCTTAATGAGGGGTATATTTGCGATTTGAGTTATAATCTTTTAACTATGTATTAATTTACAGCTGTTTATCAAATTTTGTGTATTTGTGTCCTTATTTGTATATAAACAACTGTAAAATGGATTAGTTGGGGAAAAAAGACTAAGTGTATTTTTTTTTTATTGTGGTAAATATGTACGCAACAAATCATTTGCCTTTTCAATATTCTTCACATGTACAATTCAGTGACATTAGTTATCTTTGTGAAGACTAAATGTATTTTATTGTATTCTCTCCTTTGAATTTTTACTAACTTCATTCAGCTGGAAATAATTTCAAAAAAGGAAATAAAACACATTACTCCTAAAATATATCTTCTTTGCCTCTTTGGCGGGGCTGTATAAATGAGGTGAGGAATTTCCTGTCAAAAAGCAGCCATTGGGGCGAGGAGCAAACTCTGCGCCACCTAACGCCTAACCACGGGGAACAAGTGCCATCGTGTGGACAGATTCAGATTAGCACACTTTCAACACCAGAAGGAGCAACCCAACCAAAGAAAAAGGACAGAGGCTGGACCTCAGGAATTCTCAAGGCCTGGGAGGAGAATTCCATTTAAGGTATCTTAGCAAAAACATAGCAACACCTTCTCACAGATACGACATAGTCTAACTGAGGAATTTCTATGGCTGCTGCAGAGGTAAGATCACACTTAGGGAGAATACGTGGCCCCTTCACAGGGGCACCAGGTTCTATTGACCTGGAGAGCCAGAGACCGTTCCTAAGAGACAGAGGAAGGCTGAGCAGAAGAAGAAACATGGCTGAGATGCAAGCCCGGGGCAGGGATACACCGCATTCAATGTCCATTTTCCACCAGGACACTCGATGATTTTGCTTTGAAAAAGTTGCTGTGCTCATGAGTGTGGCATGTATCACCACAGTCAGATTTTTAGCATCTAGGGAGAGCTTGTTGATCTGGAGAAAGGAGTAAAAAAGCCATTCAAAGGAGGTAAGTCAATGCATCCACGTTCTCCCAGAGAGCCCTGGCCTAGACAGCAC